GTTTGAAATCAGAAATGCGAAAGGTTGCCTCGCGCGCGGTCCGACTTTTTCTTAGCATTGTATTACCTTCCTTCTACTTCGTGTGCTTCGCCAGTCTCTTTAGCCCGGTAAGAAGAGAGCATTGTGCAGAAAACTTCCGCGCGCGCGCCAGACCGCATCGTCGACTGCCATAGTTGTGTGAGACCGCCACTCTTTTGATATTTCACGTAGTAGACGAGTGGCGTGTCGTAATGAAATCATCTCCAGTACTTTGATCTTCTCCCCGTGCGGCGCACCCCCTAGCCATCACCGGTAACCTCCGCGTCGCTTTCCCTTGAAAACACGAGGCCACCCCCGCACACCACCCTCGCGAATGTCCCACTCAGCCGGCTCTACTAGCACCCTTCATTCGCCCATCCCCTCCTCGCGTTACCTCCTCATGAACAGATATAGGCAAGCACACGGTCTAATTTATATCTTCATAATGAGTTCCTTTTGCACCTTCTTCTTTGCCGCAACACATTTTTATTATGAGGAAAGCAATTTTCTAATTATGACAAGTACCAGCCGATTATCTTCTGTCGGATGCGTCTTTGTTACTCTTTTCATTACGTTTGACCAACTCATAATTATTTTCTTGCATGGTATTTCCAGCATAACAGTGTTAATAAAACTCGGCAGGAAAATGATGTATAGGGCAGCAAGAATTCACGTATAGCGCGATATTGTGCGGTAATCGTGAGATATTTTCTTTGCGCGAAAAACGGCGATAGATGGTGACGATGATGAATGTCGGAGCTGTGGAGTCGGAAGCAATGCGAAGGACATGAGAAGATGAAGTAGCGCGAATGAGTCGCCTTTTTCTTTACTGTGCTATAGGTGGGAAACACCTTCAATAACGTTCAGTACTTGTCTCTCAGTTTAACACCTTGTGGACACGCGATATTACATTGAATCATGACAACGTAAAACAACATAATTATATAATTCGATTATATAGGTAAAGAAAAAAAAGACGAAGATATGTAGCTTAAAAGAATACGCACAGCCCATGTTTTTTCTTTTCTGTACGGCAACAAATATAAAATGAAAATGTCACTAATTAAGTAATAATTTAACAGCATCATTTGAAAATATTATAACTATTATAAATTTTCGAGAATTATTTTTACACATATCAAACAACAAACAGTTTTTATTTAGTTGAAACAAAAATAAAATAAATTTAGAACAACATAGATTATTGTTCCACTATTATAAGATATAAGAAGTTATGCTGTTGATAGCATAACATAATTAAAAAGTGATTAACTATAAATACTAAAAAATGTAATTATTTTTATTTATATTTTTACATTATTTTTTTATATTAACATCTAGTAATGTACTTAATGAGTTTGCTCATCTAAAGCTTCTTATTAATTTTCCAGCTTACTAGCATAATAAAGTGTACTTATCAGGAATCAATAATTTAATTAATAAGATGATACATATACTTAAACTGGATAGTTTCAATATAAAAGTTTGATAATCGTTTTATTTTGTGTAAAGTTGTAATTAATATTTCAAGAAAAATATACGACATTTTTTTATTAACTAAAAAATAATTATTTAAGAACTTACGCAAGAAAAAACAAATTAAAATATACTAGAGAAGATTGTGTTTACACATGCTAGAAAAAAGCGATGATATATGAAAAGAAATAACACAAAAATACTATTTATTACAGTGGACAGTGACAGTAATGATCAATACGCGGATAAGCGCGTTGACGGAGGCGCCAAGAAACAGAGAGAGGAAAGGAGATAAGAAAGCTTGTTCTTTGTATGAGAGAATCATGACCGTGGCGACTATATAAGGTGTATCGAGCAACAAGGACTAACGGCCTTTAATTAATAAAGTTACGCGAACAACTCTCAAAGTCTTCCTGCCTCCCGTGCCCATCCACCTGGATAGCAGCTATTTCCTTCGCTTTAGAAATTCTGGTATTTTCCTTCACTCTCCCTCCCCCTCATTGCTTCTTCATACTTCGATCTTCCTAAAGGCCTACCTAGCGAAGTTGTAACCCTTTATTACACGAGAAAGCGTCTTCCGCTTATTTTGCAAAGATACTTTTCTACGAATTTTCCTCCGATACCGATAATTATTCTTATATTTAAATGCCATTTAATATCATATTATTAAATGTTGCAACGAGAGAGAGAGAGAGAGACATAAAAATTACATACAGATATAGAAGTTATCTTAATTTAATATGTATTCTACTTTATTTATTTTGTTCATATTTTTTTGCATTCAAAGATAATAGAGATAAAAATTATAATGACCAGGAAAACACTATTTTTAAAAAATACAATATAATTGTTGATATTATATTAATTAGATGTGTAATAAATTTATATATATAGATGTCTCTAATAAATTACAATGATACAAGATAATGCACTATTAAAACATGATTAAATATTAATTTATCAGATATTCTCTTGGCAATAAATGTAATGTTTCTTCTTTTGTTCTTCTTCTTACATGATATAAAAAAGAACTATAAATTACGATTGTAATTCTATTATATATATATATATATATATATATATATATATATATATATCAATGCAAAGCTTTGATCTTTAATTAACAAGGATTGATTTTGAAGCAATTAAATTCTTATTTAAAGCCATGAATAGGATTAATAAACAGAAAAATGTCATCGTATAATCAAACGTTTAAAACTAACATAAAAAGAAAAAACAATACGCAACTCTGCAAATTCTGCATAAAATTATATATTTAAATTTGTCTGAATAAAAAGCATATATGTGTATGAAAAGAATTAACATTTCATATCTCTTTCGAGCACATTCAGAAATTCTAGCTTATAGAAATTTATACGTGTAGTTCAAGGAACGATGTACATAGAATGTGTACACATTTTACAGTCATGTGTAGACACTTTGAATTTGTAATATATACAGAAAGAGAGAGAGAGAGAGAGATGTCGTAACTTGCATATGTAACGCATATATATGTATACAAGAGTATATGTCACTGCTACGTAAATTACATAGTACATACACATATATAATGCGTAAACGTTGCCCGTAATAATACGCGTATGGGAGGCTTCGCTACGTATATTAAGTCAGAGACATTTTCGCATGTACCACGCGACGCGTATTTATATGTTTGTGGCATAATGGAAATAGATGTGTGGTATATTCATGCATAAAGTGACGTAAGAGTCACTTCACACATCGTTTATTGATCAAACGTTTCACATGGCATGTGTTAAATATATTTAGACATTTTCACTGATTTGAGATCTTTCTACATCGCTGAAACAGATTCTGGAAAGATTCTTGTAAAAAAATTTTTGCAGGTCTACAAATTTCTTTTATAACATGCTTTATTAAAACAATAAATAATAAATTTAAATTAGTAAATTTTTGCATGATGTAAAAAATATGTGCAATTTTGTAAAATTAATATTAGTATAAAAATAAATTATAATATTTAGAAATAGAATTAATATAAATTAATATAATATTATTTTATCTAAGAAGAGATCTGTACTTTGTAATAATTCTCAATGTGCCAGCGTATTATAATTGATAATTTGCACGAAACCGCGATACATATTTTCTTCTTATCGTGGCGCCAAAAGCAGAAAGGGTGTGGGATCTTTTCAAACTGTGCTACACAGAGACGGACTCCCGGAAAAGGAAGCACCACCCGTAGATTGCCAGACTTCAAGAATTAAACCGTGTTCCTGCTGCCAACCCTGTGATGTCTTGTTCGTACTATGGCGCATCGGCCGCCATGCTTCTCGAAAGAATCTTCCGGCAAGTTATGGCTTGCTAAAGAAAATTGACTTGAATCTATGCCAGGATAATAAAAGCGCATAGCTGCGAGGAAGCGCGGGTGAGAAAAATGAAGAAACAATCTTGACACCATGGGCGATACCGGTAAAAAAAGAAGTCGTTCGGATACGTAAAACGACCAAAGAAGAAATCCCCCTCGTTATATACATATAGATCGTGGCTGTCGGCCCCAATGTTAATAAATATCTATTAGTGCGCTTCGAAAACTTATATAGCGATACTGATATTACGAACGATATTAAACGCGACGGATATTGCGTTATTTTCATCGGAACATTTGGCACATTTCGTACACGATACATTTAGAAAATTTATGCTAATGTCTACATGTCGCACAATTTTCGAATATTAAACAATTAAAGTCATAAATGACGTAATTTCTTATATTTAATATTTTCATTTTGTATTAACGTTAATAGACACTGTTGATAAGACGTGATCATCCGTACTAAATATAATCACGTTTACGTTATTATATATTTTGCTTCCGTTAAACGAGATGTAATCTATTTTAAAATTTCTATTTTTTGATAGATTAAAATTATATTTTTATTAATTTTATTTTTATTAATTAGATAAAAATTATATTTCTATTTTTTGATAGATTAAAATTATATTTTCTTAATTAAAAAGATTAAGAATGTATCTACATGCAAAACAATACATTTATGTATAGTTGTTTTATTCACTTTATGATAAATTTTAACTGAAAAAAGAGAATTAACTTTATTAATGATAATTTCGGCTAATATAATAACAAGATATATTGGATTATGATATAATCGATATGACTTGAATGTATTCCATTGCATTAGAGAAAACTAAGTGGAAGTTTTAAAATCAAGCGAATTTTGTTCGCGAGCCTACTTATGTGAAGATAATCACATTATGTACGATAATCAGCCGTTATTTCATTATCTATGCCATAGCGCCCTATTGATTATAATAGCTCTTCTGCTAACGCTTTGGCATGTCTAATATAATTAACATATGTAGAATGGAATTTAACAAAACAATATTATGATATTTGCCATGTCTCTCAATTTATAAAATGTATTTCCCAAGCATTGCGATGTTTCGATACTTTTGTAAAATGCCTTTTGCACATAGTCGTATGAAGCAATCGAGCAATCTTTTACCTTATTCGGTGTCGTTGCTTGCTGCTGCGGCGAACAGCTGGTGCTGTGTACAGTCGGCTGATTGGTCGTCGCCGGCACGATGCCCTGATGATTCAGATGACTCAGCTGATTCAGCTGCGTGAGCTGCTGCGGCTGCTGCACCGGATTCTGGGTGTTGGCCTGCAGTTGTTGATGATGTGACTGATGCGCAGGATGAGTCGTCTGATGATGCGTCGCAGGGAAGGTGGGTACCGTGAACGGGACGAACAGCATCGGGCTGCCGAGGATGTGCGCACCACCTCCACCCAATGCCCCCGTCTCCTCCCTACACCTTTTTCGTGCGTTTTTTGTTTTGGGTAACTTTCTTTACTCCATCAACCGTGTTTTTTTAAATATTTTTTTTCTTAATTTCGGCGTGCTACTACGCGCATAGATCGTTATTTTTATTATATTACTTTTGTCAAGTATACTGCCGACGACGACGAGCAGAGTAGAAGCGTAGCAGTAGCACTAGTAGTAGTGGTAGTAGTAGTGGTAGTAGTAGAGGTAGAAGTAGTGGTAGTGGTACTAGTAGTGGTAGTAGTAGTAGTAGTAGTAGTAAGGAGTAGTAATATACGTGTCGAAGTGAAGCTACAATATATGTTTAATGATTTATTATTACCTGCACTCCTGCCCCAGCCCCTGGTGCTGGGGTTGGGCGTAGGGGGCGGCTCGGACGGAGGTGGTGGACGCCACCCTCGCTACCCTCAGCGATAGACCGCCCCGCTGACTGGTAAGTTGGACTGAAGCTGGCTGGTGATTGCTATGCACGCAGCAACAGGCACGGCAGCCAATTGGCTGTTGTTGATTTGGAATAGCCTGGAGATGATGACTTAGGGGGCCCCTGGGCCCCGTGGAGGAGGGAGAACACGGGTACACCCCAACCAGGCAACCCACCACCGCAGCCCCGGGGCCCGGTGCGCTCGGTGCCAAGGCGCCTGTGGACGAGGCCACCCCAAGCTCGCTGGCTCTCCGGCAACCACTGCACCACTGCACCCACCCTCCTTGTTGGGGGGCTTGTTGATACGTCCTGTTGACGTTGATCGTTGAGCCGGGCTGAACGACCTCAACCTGGGCCTCTTTGAGCTCACGATTGCCTGCGGGCGGGATTTTGCTACTTTGCTGTTTACTCGGGGTGATCAACTCTGCGCGTGACGGACGCCGATTTTCAATCTGTTTAAAATTTTCTTGGACCAGGCAATGGCAATCAACGAAGAAAGCCTGAACTGCTTCACTTCGACTTTATTTCTTGATTACGTATCACAACACTGATGCTCGCACGTGAAGCTGCTGATTTTAACTAAATCAGTGAAAAATCACAGTCCTTGCTACAGTCTTGTATGTTACGAGAGAAAAAAGTAAGTTTTAATAAATATATTTCCAGAGAGAGTTATTGATGCTTCCAGTTTTCGAGCTTTATTAATGTTATTTAATTAACACTGATAGTGTTGTTCACCACAAAGCGATTGTGTCAAAAACTATTTTTCACGTTTGTCACGATTCCCTAAGAGATGTTTTTGAGAAATATGCTGAGTTCTACCGAATCCCGTTCTCGTGGAATGTGTTTACCGTATACTCTTGGCGCAGTCGACGCTCACTTCAACAGCCACGTGGTCGACTCGGATAAGATTCTATGTCAATCTCTTTGAATGCCAGTACAAATGCGAATCGCAGATATATTTGTTTTTGTGTATAAAATACGTCACCGCGATTAAAAAAGTTCGCAATATTTTTTGTTCTCAAAATACTTTTCTTTTTCTTTGTAATTACTGAAGCGAATATCTGAGACAAATTATCGTATGAACAATTATTAAATATTAAATTAGAGATGAGATGAACTTTAAAATTTAACTAATACACGGGTATAATCGTTATGTTAATTGTAATGTACAACAATTGAACACGTTTCATCGCATTGTATAAACCAATAAACTGATGTCTCCTCTAATAGTCGGCAGAGCATGCGTTTAACTTTCAACGATCTGTAACTTATGTCCGATGTCACTTGTTCCGGCAATACAAGTCATAAAACACGTGTTTTGCTTTATAATTAAAAATACTGCAGCATATGTCTCTAATGTAAGTATATCGGCTAATTTGCAACTGTATATTTCGTTAATTTATTAAAATCTTCCAGATGATGAACAGACTATGGTGAACAACACTCGTAGCTGCACGCGTCGCATGAAGGCTTTCGCTTACGAACACGTTGCAGGGAAAGATACGAAGTTTGCGGTCACACGCACACCTGGAAGAACGATAATCACTCGATCGTTCAAATAGCACCTTCTTTATTTTCTCTTTCTAATGCTTTCCTAAATATCTTTTAGATGTGACAGCCATGAATCATAGAAATCTGATTGAACCTTATTGCCGCGCGAACAACATACGAAATAAATTGCGGCGGATACTTCCGATTCTTGTACGAGGATTAACACCTGTATTTGCGGCGACTTTCTCTCCTTCCTCCACGGGTCAAATCAAACAAAGCGGCCGGTCCTCGCGATCGTATAAATGAGATTAAAGACACGACGGGTGGAAAAAGAGGGAACCTAACCCGTAATGTTGGAAGGTCGCTCGCCGACTGACTAGCACTTCCGCTCAGGCTGTTGTGCGATTCAGAGTGGGGGATGCTTCGTTGAGTTGTTGTGTGTAGGGGTTGGTGGCGGTGGGTCGACTCGTCGGTTGGTTGGTTGGGGTGGTTGTGTGTGCTTCGCTCTTGCTGTGCGCGGGAAACCAGGGGCTTTCAAGCCTGCAGGATCTGTATGGCCCGGCGAAATAGCGACCAGTTTCACGTGGCTCGTACTAGCTTGAGTTCAACTACTTTCACCTTGCGTCTCGTTGTCAACGTCGTGCCCCGAAGTTTTCATGAAATTTCGATGCCGTAAATTTTAAATAAGTCCCGCGCGTCGCAATCGCATAAATTTCAGAGATATTAATCTAATATTTATTTATATGTTAATTCCGAAACGATGATAGAACGATGAAGAAGCGTCTTATAAAAATCGTTTTTCACTTGTAAAGCAAAATGTCGAAATTGAACGAACTTCGTCGTTTGTGCATTTAGAAATTTATTGTCTTGCGGTGAGATGTATCGAGCGAATAATCAAGAAGGGTAGAACATGATTCGGTGAGTAAATCGATTAAATGATGAGAAGAAGTCGAGATGTACGAGAGATTGCGTAGGGTATCAGGTGCGCGCTTATACTGTCAATCGAATTATCTAGGGTTTGTCGCAGCTGCTTCAAAATATCCTTTTACCTTGATAGGTACAAACCAGATATCAATCAACGTTTATTATTAAATTTCCGAGGGTGCAAAATAAATGGTATCTAATATATCGAAACTGTTCACCAGTAAAAAAGATATTTATATAAAATCTTGCAATTTATTTTTTAGCGCAAATAGATTTTATATGATATAATTAAACATCCTAAAAGTTTGGAAAAGATAGTGAAATATGAACTTGAAATCAACACTGTAATTATTAGTATCACTAGAAATCTCAAAAACTCTCTCAGAATTTTTCGCTAGGCCATAGAAGATACTCGGCCGACGGAAACGAGCACTATTCTGCGGGCGGATTTTAACTCGATGGCGTGTGTTTCCAGACCAATTTCACATTACCTTGCACTAAAAAAATCACTTAAGGATACACTCAAAGCACCTGTCACAATCGTCGAACTTGTCATGCACTGTCAAAAAAATGTCACTTTCGCAAACGCCTATTTCGTTCGAGGAGGTTTCTCAAGCAGGGTGCCGGAGAACAATGGGGGCGCGTACCGGTTCGTATGCGTGGTTGTTTGTACGCGTGCGTCCTAGTACAGGTTGTGTTTATGCGGCCGGCAATCGTATATAAATGTTGGCGCGTGACGGTAAGGGAAAAAGTGTCTCGGCGCGAGTTACAACCGGCGGATAAAAAATGATAATGGCGGATGAACAGGCGGATATATGCGCGGGGGTACTGGTACTGCGACGCGGTGTCTCGTAGCCTGGTGTGTAATGGGCTATGGATTTGGTGGAGCGCTGTTCCTGCACGTAGGGTAGGTAACGTGGAGACAAGAACCCTGTATCGCAATGTATCGCGGCGGTGGTGGCGACGACGGCGGCGGCGGCGGCGGCGGCGGCAGTAACTGGAGGGGTGATCTGTCAGGCTGGAGGGGCGAGTGGGTGGTATAGGGTAGGAGTCTGGCTCGTTCCTTCGTTCGTTCGAGGTGGTGGAAGAGAGGGTAGGTCAGACGATCTCGAGACCGAGGGCGCGCAGAGCGCCGTTTCTCGTGCGGGAACAGTTATCGTTGCTTCCGTTGCTGATGCTGTCATGTATATCTATCGTCTTTTGACGCTCGATCTGACTCATATTCTTCTAAAAACTCGCACGAATTTTCAATATTTTTTATTACGCGCAATTTTAAGTTATTGTAGCGAAAAATAAATAATTATTTATATTATATTATATTCTTACATATAAATGTATAAGGAGTTTGTTACAGATTAATTATATAGAATTTTATGCGACAAATTCTACATGCAAAATGTTATTCAAAGTTTTCATGTATTTTAATAAATTGAAAACTTATAGCATTTAACATTTCTATTAATACAGTATTTTAAAATTAATATTAATTAATATAATTAAATAATATTAATTGTTGCTTTATGCACCAAGTAAAATATAGGCATATGTCATTAATTTTTCAATAAAAACGCGGTTTAATTTTCGCGAATTAGTAATCGTTTTAAGTTCACGCACTACCATCCGCCTTGGCTCTTAATAGCTCTTATTCTCAAACAATATTCATTTTAGATGTGAGATTCCCGTGTAAGAAAAATATTAATTGTGTTATATATACATATATATTATTACTTTAAAACAAGATACACATGCAAATAATTTATTATAAAGATAAAAGGAGAGAAAGAAATTCAAATATAGTTGAAATTTTATTCTTTTTTCTATATTTCAGAAATACGTCAGTGTAGTTCTATATTTCTTAATATAAGAAAAACGGTACTTAAAATTTTTTTAATTATAAATGAAGTTTTTTGTTTTATTATAAGAGTCTAGGAAAATAATATGAATATTTTTCTCTTTATTGCTATGTTAGTTCACTAAAAGAAGAATATAATCAAAGGCATGTGGTTAGAGCGCCGATGAATCGATCAGTACTGGTCATTTGGCTCCCTTTGTCGCACGTGTTAATTAAAAATTGCTGGCGGTTATCGTTCTGGAAGGAATCACGTATATATCTGTAATTAATTTATCGATAAATTCTCATCAACCATCGAACAATCTCATAGCATTTTCCGGCCGTGCTTTCAGAAATTTTTTTGAAATTAATAATTACTAAACAAGTTATTAATTATATTTTGTGCATAGAACATTTACAAACCGTTCGTATTTGTGGTCAGAATAACTCTCCAACTACCGCATAACACAAATAGAATAATAATAGTATATATTCAGCTGCTCATAATAGATTTGATTAGTTTTCGTGCTCTGCGATGTAATTACCAAAGTAACATATAACGGTGTATGCATTGCCATAAAATGCTTGTTATTATTTATCGAACATATTTAATTAAATATTTTTTGCATATATAAATTTAAATAGATTTATTTTTTATATGAAATATTTATTTAATTATATTTTCTCATCGCATACTTTGTATATCGATGTATTTGAAAGATAAAAATTCATATACATACATAATATATTTATATTCTTTACTAAACCACAATTAATCTCTGGTTCCTATTGAACAGCCAGAGAAAAACCTAGTGACGAAGACCGATTAAAGGCAAAGTCAACAATTGTAAGAACTTTAAATGCGATTTGCAACTCATTTATAATTCACAGTCCTCGCGGTCGGCAGCTTTCCATCGGGTCGCCATCAACGAGCAGGCTCGCGGGCATGACAGATATGGTGTACACATTGCGCCCAGGAAATTTCGTATTTTCGCAGCTAATGACTGAGGAACGAGACGGTAATGTATTCTATGCGGAACATCTACTATGCGCTCCCATTAGCATTTGTAATGCGCATCTACCCCTAACTCTCGGGGCGCAAGCGTTGACGCTCGGCGCAAACCCATCAACGTACCATTTATAGCGCCGTTTCGTGCCCGCATACGCGGAGAAAAGAGTTTACTACTCGTTGCTGGTGAATATGTTAATAGGATGCACCCGCGCAGCGCGCTCTTAGCAGCGTCCCGCGTTATGACGCAGCCGTTGGTGGAAGATTACGGTCGTACCTTAGCGTCGAGATATTTTTCCATGGCTCCCAAAGACCGCGATAATATGCGGAAGTAGACGCACCATTAAGAGGCCTTTCACGTGTCACACGTATGCCGCATGTCGTTAAATCCGCTATCGATGCTTTGTAATTCTTTTTTTCTCTGTCACCGCAGCGACCAAAGCGATTTGCACTTATCGCTTTTGCATGAAGCGCCCTTATCGACTTTGCCGAGTTGCAGATAATCGAGATCGACGTATCTATCGCGTGCATGCGTCGGCCGCACAGCCAACATGTGTGTTTACACTTCTGCGCATTGCCGAAATATTTTCTCTACTATAATCGATACGCTCTAGGAGCGATACAATGGAGAATGCTGAATCATTCAAAGCGCAATATATATGTGAATTTTTTTTTGTCTATTTGACATAAAAAGGACTTGTCATATTTTAACAGTTTTTATTTGCATTTTTAGAAATTGTCAACAAAAATAATTCATGATCATATGATACTATTTTAACAAATAATCGCGTAAAATAATTGCGGCGATCTATATGACTTTTGTGTATATTGATATCTGATGGTCCTCCAAGAGTATTTCGAGCGAATACCATTCTCAACATTTCGCAATGGTTTTGCCGTAGGATCCACCAAGAAATGTACAATAAACAAGTGGCTTCTGGCGGCGATAACGCCGTAATTAACACTTCAACCAGTGTGCCGTGCAATCTCGCCGGATATGTTTCGCGCGGAAAGGTGTACCGGAGCTGCTATAATATCCATGAAAAACGCTTGTTCAGAACCGGAACGACCGTCGAGACCTGGAAACGTCCCGAAGCGCGGAGCTAGTGACAGCAAAGGCGGCGAGCGCAATAACGGATAAGCGGAGCAATCGGACAGTTTGTGAGCGGCCTCTGCTCCTGATGGGCTGGACGATGGAGAGACACGGCTGTAGGGAGACGGTATATTTATAATGACCCTATATGTATGCAAATGGCCGCATATCGTACGCTTCTATTCCGCTCGCATCGCTCGCATTCACACGTGAGAGAAAGAGAGAAAGAGGGGGGGAAGAGAGAGAAAGAGAAAGAGAGAGAGAGAAAGAGAGAGAGAGAACTCCGATCCACGCGTCATCTCCGCTTCTCTATATATGACCTTCTCTTTCTCTCTCTCTCTCTCTCTCTTTTGCATTTTCCGAATCCGCGAACGTATTCACGTACGCGCTTGTGCACGTATATCGAGATCGCGTGTGCAATTACGAACACATAGAGGCGAAACGTGGGATGAAAATGCATCGATTGTGCGTAAACGTGAGTCAACGCAATTCCGCGAGAGACCGCGGCACAATTTTGCAGTTAACCAAGTCTTTTTGGCCATTATACACGAACTCACAGCATATTCTAGATGCGACAGATCGTTTCCCGAAGCGAGAGCGTTCTAACTTGAGAGCAAATCTAGTATAACTTTCTGTAGGTGTCTGCCTAAAGATAGAAGACGACGTATGATTCTATTTATGAACTTTCCGATAGAACATGTATTTTATTTTGTCTCTTAGGAAAGTTTAATAGAAGTCAATCAACATGATAAATGAATATCTAAAAATCTGCATAATAGCGAGTAATATTTACAAAAAATGCCATTGTCATAATATATATTTTTAATACCATTATATATATATTGTGTGTATAAAATATTTAATAATTATAACATGTTATCAAATTTATATGATATATATTCAATTTAATATAAGATTTATGTATAAAATCTAACTAATATTTGATTTTATCAATTGCTGACGCATAGCAAAAAAATAATATATCGATATTTTATCTTTAGTCTTGATTCTCATATTGATAAAATTTCAGTTATATATTTTACAATTAAAATAACTATTTATCTCGTGAACTGTCGATATGATTATATTTTTAATTTGGCATGTTCGAAATCAAGCACAAGTATCAAACAAAATATTAATAAATATAATCTTTTTGAATGAAACAAAGAAATGCATTCTTATAAGAATCGCGCATGATTAGCAATTTTACATTATTTAAGATATTAATTCAAATTATTGAAAGTCCAAAATGCAATCAAAATATTGCTATATGTGTTTCTGTACAACAATGCGAGAGGTAAAACACATTCATCTCTTTCTGACCTAAAACTCGCCTCGCGTAAATGTCGATAGGGCGCATCGCGATGCACATAAATTATAACGATAAACATGTTATTTATAGACCAACATAAATTGGCTATGCTAATTTCTGCTGATCAGCAGGAAACTACATTGGGGATGCCGCGATCGCTATAGTCGCATTCATTGAAAACAAATTGCAGCTTATGTCGATGTCGCAAATCTCACTTTGGCTAATGTGCAGTGAGAAGTAAAAATCTAATTTCTCATTAAACATTAATCTCTCTTGTGCTATAATTCTCATAGTGTCTAGCTAGTTATAATCAAATAATAGTAAATAATAAATGTAAAGTGTTATTATTTTATATTAAGTATATGTGTGTATTATTAATTAGTACACAAAAAATTATATATTCTACAATTATATTATAAAGAAATAACAAATATATTGTTTTAGAAATATTATTAATTATTATATATATATTAATTTAATATTATCTAATTATTATGTATTTAATCAAAGAAAATTATATATTCTTGAGCAGCAGAGAAATTTTATGTATGTTTATATAATATTATTAATTATATTTAATGCCGTGATAAGAGTGTATTAAAAAATATATGATAAAAAATTTAATAAACTTAAGATATCGTTGAAATGCATTTAAAGCTATAGCATTCTATCCTTCATAATCGCATGACATTAGTACGGCATGCAACAATATACCAGGATAAAATAGGTTCAGCAAGAAACAGTAGCAACAGTCGCCAGTTTCCCGCGGTACTAGTTTCCGTCTCCGCGGTCTTGTTTTGTGGCATGAAACCGTGAACTACCTTAAATAATTGCGAGCTTAAATGTGTTTTGCTAGGGGCCGACCGAAGGAAGCGAGGCAATCAAAGGAGAAGACTCGAAAGAAGGATAAGGAAACGTTACAAGGAAGTTTTGTAAAGTGTTGGAGCGTATTCGTTCATCTCACAAAGTCCAGTGATCTGCTTCAAGCAAACGCTTTAATCGATTATTAATTGTAAACAGATGATTGTACGTAATAGTGATAACTCTTTATTCACTTGGTGGATATTAAACTACATGACTCAAATACTTAATATATTTTCTTATGAAGTTTAATATTATGCAACCCGTTCTCGAATCACTTAATAAATTTTAATAATACAGTAACTTCATGATCGTCATGAATATGACTGAATAAGACAGTCATAAACAACGCAAATGTAAAATTTATTACAAAATTAATTTACCTTAAATGCAAAATTCTGACAATATGTATGTTTATGAAAACGCGAATAAGTCTATCAAATCACTAATCGCGCGATCAGAATTCACGGCGGAAAATACAAAATTAGGCGCGTAATATAGACGTCTTATTTCTAGATACGTAGAAGAGCATGACGAACGGTCGACCCCTCGGTAAAGTCCTTTGCATAGCCGGAGGGAGAACGCCGAAATTCCAGGGAAGATTAAGACGTGCGGATTTGGGGGTAGGGCAAGCGGAAAAACAGGAGCTAAGGGCAGAGAGCGGAACCTTAGCTCGCGGCTACAGAAAACCGTAGTCGGCTCGTCGCAGAGAGACGCGAGAGAAATCTCTCCTACCGCTCTTGCCGCACGATCTCTTCGTCTTCGTATCCATTTGTCTCTTTCTGTCCTACGCATTCTTTCCCTCTCTTTCTTTCTCTCTCTTTCTCCTTTCCGCGTAAAAGCAAGAAAGCTTAATTTCAATTTCGAGTCCCGGGGGTGTCGTTCCGAAACGAATATAATTATACGGAATAATTCTGACACGAGGACGAGATGAGAGAGGGAAAGAGGTTGGTAGGCGGTTTGGCATCGGGTACAGAGGGATGGCGGGAGGGTTTCGGTTGTGAGTCGCGTTGAGAAGGAAGTCTCGTTCAAAAAGGGTAATGGCGATGCAGAAGAAAGTGAATGGGTGTGTGTGAACGAGGGTGCGTACGGTCTACTATCGCGTAGACCGCAGTTATCCTATCGTTGTAGACATGCTCTTTATGTTACGCACGGCAAACCCGCCGAAAGATAGCAAGTTGCTTAATGGCTTCAAATTCCTGCTGGCGAGGAATGCTCTGAATGAAAATTAAGTCAAATGTTCTTATTGGACTAGCCTCAATCTCATTTCGCGATGTGCAATTCTCGAAGTGCGACTTTTGGCAACTTAACGAATGACATTTTTTTAAAGCAGCCTTCTGTGCTTCGGTGATGTTAGAAAGATTTTTCTTTCTCTTTTTCGTTCGTAAAACTCAATATTAAGTTTATAAATATTTTCTTTAAATTTTTTCTAAAGCACATTTATTCTCATTATTTATTAAATAACTTGAAATTTAACTTTTCATATTTCTTTTTTTGTATAGTAAAATGTGAAATATAAATTTTTGCATAAATGAAATACGAATATAAAAGATACTCAAAATATGAATATAAAAGTACTTAATATATGAAATATATTTATATAAAGAAAAATAATATATATGTATATAATTAATTTTTCCCATTAAAAATATTTATTTTTATGTTTTCAAATTAAATTGTTAAATATGTAATATGTATATAAGATAATCGGGACTGTTGCACGTAGAAATTAATATAGAATAGCATTTATTACCTTATGAACCTTAATGCTATTATATATTTTAGATTCGTTGAGAAAACATCATTACGCATTTGTTTCATCTAAAAAATAAATGTGTTATGTTTTAATTTTGCATGACGAGATTTTATTTTTTAATTCTTTTTTATTGTTTTATCAATTGCTTTTCGTCGCGGCTGACTTCACATTTTCCAACCTTGCGCTCGTTGTCTTCATGCCCTTATTTCATCCCTCTGTTCTCTCACCCTTCTTGAACCCGATGAGACGAAGGCACCTCGTTTCATTATCCGGATATTAGCCATCGGGGACCCGAAATTGCTACAACTTAAACAATTTGTTTTAATGCAATCGTCGATTAAGCGTTTACTGATTGCGTTCTCATTGATTTGCTTGCAATTTCATTTATCGAATCTATTTTCGCAAAATAACTAAAAATTTTTTTGGTATTTAATACATCATTTATTATCTATCAGCAGATGTAGAATGAACATGTAAAAGTTATATCATTAAATCTTTTAAAAATTTTTGAATTAATTATATAGAATTATGAGAATTAATTGTATAAATTATGTATAGAATTTATGATAGCAAATTTATCATTAATTACATACAATGTTAAAATGGTAATTAATAATTTGTAAATAGCTATTTTTACGCATTTTAAATATTTGCAATCCATGTGTAAGTTCATATTAAGGATTACACATTAAGGAACACAAGTATCTTTGTAGTTTTATGATACACTCTTTTGCTTTCTCTTTTATAAGATATTTTATTGTAAAATATTTTCCGGAATAATATTTTCGAAAACGTAAATAATAAATTCAGTGTATAACTGTTTATATTTACTTTAAAAACTAGAGATGACAGAAAATATCCATTAGCGTAAATAAAATGATTTAATTTTGCCTCATATGCCTTTATGCTTTTTGATTTTTAAAATATTAAGTTATACGATCAATTTATATAAATTACAATAAAATTTATATTTACTATATTGATTTTTTTCTCCTATTCTAAAAGTATAAGTTAAATGTAAAATTTGTAATTAATATATACATATATATGTATATGGTTCAATATTGTTCATAAAAAAGTTTCCAATATATAATTGATTAGATTAAATAACAAAATCCAAAATTCTATATATGTTCAGAGTTACAATTATAAATTATAAATAAAAAGATAAAAATTTGACTGACTGATATTCGGTTGTATTCGACTGATTTCAATCACATATGAAAATTATATGACATTAAATGTGGCACGTCAAATGCAGGTACCAACATTCGTTTATTCGAAATGGAGATTGAAAGTATTGGCGCGCATGAGGAAGAGCTCATAGCTGTCGGTGGCATCAATATAAAATATTTACGTGTGCATATAAATAATCGTTTTAAATTATCAAATTGCGCAAGTAAATCAAGAGCGAATTAAGATCTGCTAGAAGCGTACACAAGTAGACGGTAATTAACTCATCTGGAAATTATGAAAGTCAAGATGAAGCAAGTTTGTTAAAACTAAAATAAACTTTCAAGCGTTACTTGTAAAAGGTAACGTAAATTTGCCGTTGCTTCAAAGGTAACTACTTACTATTTATATTCTTTTTAGACTAAATACTTTCTTTATAGAATTATTTTTATAAAAACATATATTGAAATGTTTATTAATTAAAAAAAGAAGATTATTTAATTATGGGAAAGAATTTATAGATCTTATATTATATAATAATATTTCATACTTTATTTTATTTTACTTAATTATTA